AACGGTAAAGATTTAAGTTGTTTGGCCACTGTGGTAACTATTGGTGCATGAGTGCTACCACATTTAAAACAACAACCAACTTTGTTTAAAAAAGGGGGTACAGGATCCTTTAGACAAGAGGCTAACGGCAGGATTGCTTGGTTGGTCAGCAAATGCTCTGGGGAGTGCCAAGGTAGCTATAGAAAGGGGGTGAAAATATTTTGGGTGGGGTTTGGGTTTGTTTCAGCTGGAGACATTTTAATGCGAGGGCACCTGAGAGGCAGTCTTTGGGAATGCTTTGCTCTGGATAGGTGATTAGTAATATTGAACTGGGTTTGTAATTAAACTAGACTTAAGAGGCAGAATGAATTGATTGTTTTTATGAGTCTCATTCCCTGTCCCCTGTAGTCACAGACCAAGGTACCGTCATATCAGGATGTGTGCAGACAAAACAAAAGTAAGTCCCAATCCCTGAAATCTTTCTTTTATTTTCCTAAGCAGCAGATAATATACACCAGGAGTCTGCCTCTTCCTAGTAAAGACAACACAAAGATATCAAAGAAAGATATTTGGAGAATAAATTTGAGGATGGGTTTAGTTTGGTTTTGTTTTCCTTAAACATAGATTCCTTAAGAATCTATGTCTTGGGCAAGAAATGGTAATTAATTTTTTTGTCAGTGGTACAATTTGTTTTTTTTTTCAGCGGAAGGTAAAGGTAGCCTTTCTTGCACATCAGAACAAAGGATGTTGTAGCAGATAATTGGTCAGTGCTAAGCCGTGCATTATTATGAACTGCTAAAAGTCACAACTGAAAAAAATGTGACATTGATTATTCCTATGAACTGCTAAAAGCTACAATTGATAAAGGTTACAACATGACCCAGCTGAGAACTTTATCACAGAAATGTAGGACCTGCCAGCCTGGAGTAGATGGTCTGATCTGTTGTTCGTTGTGACAGAGACCAGTACCAGGCCCTTAAGAGTAATGACAGACAAGGGTTATCCTTACCCCTTTTTTTACAGCTCCAGGTAGGTCTTTGGAACTGCTTTGGAGTCATCTCCTGGACTTTATAAGCAGGAACTCAGTTCTTGCCAGTCCTGGGAGGACCCAAGCCTGGTCTGGAAGGTGCTGCAGTCTTGACGCGAGTCCCACTGAGACTGTCCAGTAGTTTCATTGCATTGCCCTTTGCAAAATCGCGGACACCTCTGTAATCTTTGTTTCTGTGACCTTATTTGCAAGTTCAATAACTTAATTCTTTTCACTCTAACCCTGTTTTTCCTGCCCTTCTCCAATCCATTTTTAATTCACAAAAACGAAGATAGAATAGCAAGCACTGTCCTGCAAAGCTAGGAGGTTCGTTTCATCTCTACTTCTCCCACCCTCAGAAGAAGCTCTGCACAGTACAATACAAGTTCCCACAACAGCCAGGTTTCAGATTGCAAGTGGCCAGAGCACCCGGCAATAGGAAATTCGGGTTGAGTCCGAGAGCCGCGTGCTGTCTGGACGTCATTGAGGCTACTATGCCACCACAGTTGCCTTCAAAGGAGGGCAGTCATCACCACTACTCAGAGTAGTCAGTGGCACCTGTCTTACACAAACCTGCCTTCTGGCCAATGAAACAGGCTTCGATGTTGCAGAGGGCAGAGAGTGGCGCAGCATGATGTGAAAAGAGACCTACCTTCGTTGTATCCTTGGGCAGTTCCCTCTTCAAAAGGCATCTGCCATTGCTGAGTAATTGGCTCAGCTAATTTGTAACTATTACTATGTAGTGTGTAAAATTTGTTTGCATAAATATTTATTTATATAAATGTTACTGCATATCACCAATATATGAGGTGATAAATTAAAAGTGTCCCATAGGGATGTTTACAACTCATTTGTTTGATGGATTATTTGTTTAAGGTTGAAAAGGGGAAGATCTGTCTGCCTTTTTTTCTTTTTTATTTTGTTTTTTTTCCCCCTTTCCTCTTCTTCCCAGAAATTGAGAGTGGGTGAAAAGGGTTTCAGATTGTTTATCCATAGAAACAATGTGATTTATCTGTAGTCTTGGTCCCTGAGAGTGAGCAACGCAGAAAGCAGTTGTAATTTAATACTAAGCCGATGAGAGGTGCATTGATTTTTACAGCAGGTGAAGATTATGCGAGAGTAGCCTCTAGCATTTCTTGGGGAGTAGGGGAGGAAACTGTCTAATTTTTTGCCTTGTGGTGACAGTATAGATTTTTTTTTTTTTCCCCACGACTCAGCAAAAATGCTGTTCTACAGGCATCATAGCAAGCTGCTTTAGCTTTTGATTTCCAGTTAACATATCTTGACAATTTTGCTATATCTAGGTCTTCTTTTTCCTGGGGACTGAGCATGTTGCTTATTCTTGTTTTTTGGAAGGAGAAGAGAGAGGAAGGTAGTGTTATTTTTAGTTCATTGTGGACACCTTGTGAATATTTCATTTACCCTTCCCCATTTGGTACATTTCTGTGATGGTCTGAGAACGGAAGAAACTCATTTTACTCTCAGTGTGTTATTTGCAGAGAACTTGAATTGCTGCTGGGCGAATGTGGGGGGAAGAGGGAAGGTAAGGAGAGCCAAGCGTGTTCCTTGTTGTAGTTTTTCAGCTCCATTTGGTTTAAATGTAAACTTTTCCCTAAACTGCCCCTCCTGCAGAAGCTATTGTTGAAAATAGTGGGGAATTCAGGCTCCTGTTTCCATTCATGAGTCAGCAAAGTTAACAGACTGTGTTAAATTACTGAAGCAGCTTTGATGTGATTTCCTGTGTCTGAGAAGTGGAAAAAGCCAAACCTATTACGTTACGCGTTACTACTAGATGTGAAATAAAACGTACTCGGTTTAGTCCCCCATTCCAAGTGAATACATCACTCCCATTTGCTTTCATTACATTTATGGTGAGAACAGCAGAAGCGATCATTTAAATCCGACGTCACGCAGCTGTCTTTGGGAGAGCAGTACTTACAGGTGCTGCAGAGAGTAAGTTTCCCTTCGTAGAGGCAGGGGGAGGAAGCAGATAAAACTAGCAACCTCTGCAAAGGCTCCCGGGACGATGGGACTGACCGTTACTCAAAAGCCTTGCTCTAGGTCTGGCCCTGCTCCAAGTGCTTTGTTCTCTAAAGGTGCCCTGGCAGGGACTTACCCTCCAGCACTGAGCAGGCGATGCCTCCTTAGCCGTAAGAGAAAGTGCCCGATGCTGCTCATCAGTTGAAGGCGAAATCTCCCCAGAAGTGGTATTGCTCTATCACAGGTATTGCGAGCTTGGGCAGACCGTGATGTATTTGGTGGGCGCGAGCAGGGCTCATGCATCGTCCTCATGGTGGGCAGCCGGCGGCTGCACCCTGCCCGTTTTCCAGTGGTAGCTACGTTGTGTGTTAGACTTTGTTTGCCCAGTTTAGGAGGCTGTTCTCCTTCTTAGTTCTTTCACCGTCGATGGTTACAAGCAGTTTGAGAGGCTGAATGTTAGCAGTTTGGTTTTGTAAAAGAGAAATACCTACAGTGTGAGACACTAATACTGCAGGGTCCGCATTTCTTAGCCTCTCGTTCAGTATGCTCCATTTTGTCGTTCTTCAAGCATCCATGGGAGATACGTATTTTAACTCTGGTGAAATCAAAATCCGGTATGCAAGACATCACAAGTAATGTTATCCCTGAAGAAGGGTTTTCTCATTTCTTCTTCGGTTATTTTGAGGAAAACACTGCTCTCGTGGCACCAGCTGGCCGGCTGTCTTTGTAAACCTTTTTTGCTGCCGTGAATCGGGATATACAGTGAAATTCTCTGTAGCGGAGGGAAGCCGGCAGTTGGGCGTCTGTTAATAGCTTGAAAGTAACTAATGAGGATGTGCAGTCGGAGCGATTGATTGAATAGCTGCAGTCCTCTGTGTTTCTTTTTCGCTCGCTCGCTCTCTGCAAGCTGTGGGAAGGGAGGGGGGAACGGAGAGACCCAGCTTTCTCTTAAGTGGAAGTAGCACGGATCCCCAGGGCCAGGCGGCCAGAAATGGAAGTTTAAGCTGCATCTGTCTCTTGAAAGGAAAACGGCAGGAGTCAAAATGTCACTGTCTGGAGTCACGGCTTACCCCTTTCCTTTAAGATTCGGAAGATAACAATGGGCTTTCTGCTAGGAAGTGATTTTTTTCCCCTCCGCGTGTTGGGGGATGTTCTGTGAAGCTGGATTCCTTTAAGTCTGGCAATTGAGCTGGAGATGGGCAGCAGTTGTGATAAAGGTATCTGTATGTATATGTACGTGTATCTGGTTATATATAAAAATGCATATCTGTACAGTGTATGTGTGTTTGTGTAGAGATTTTTGATAGTGTGTAGACTTTATTATGCTATTATTCTAGTATTTATACTGGAAAAAGATATAAGTGCATCTTTTATGGATATTTGTGCTCATCAGATCAGCCTGCATGGATTTAAGATGCCAAAGTCGTATCTTAGTAAGGTCGTATTGCCAGAATGAGGAGAAGTTGACCTATTTTTTTTGATCTGCAGAGATATATATGTCATATTACCTGGGCAGTTCTGAGTCTTTTGCTGGTTGCATGGTTTGAGCAAGTAGTGTGATCATATAAGACTGAACTTTGACCTTTGTCAAATTGTGTTCAGCTGTGACTAAAATTGAGCCTTCCCTGTGTCTTGATTTTAGTTATCTGTTAATTACTGCATTGCTTATGTAAAAAAAAAAAAAAAAAAAAAATTAATAAATTAAAGTTCTCTGAATACTATCTCACAAACAGTAATAGAATACTAAATATGTTTGGGTATTGATCTTTACCAGCATTTTTTATTTTCATTGCCTATTGCCTACAGTCAAGTCAGATTCACAACCTTGAATGTGTCTGTGGAAATGCCATTGTAATTTAGTAAGTAAATAAGATACAGAAAAATAGGTGAGCGTAATTCAGCAGTTTAGTAATGTACTTGAAACTTTGCTGAGACGTCTGTCCTACGGAGCATAAAACCCGACTGTTCCCCACCCCCCGGCACCCATTCACCTTCTTTTTCTTCTCTTCCTTAGAGGTCCCAGCAGAGAGATCTCCTCGCAGACGGAGCATCTCCGGGACCAGCACCTCTGAGAAAACCAACTCCATGGATGCTTCGAATACTTCTCCTTTCAAAGTGCCAGTAAGTGTGCCTTTCCTGCAAAGGAGGAATTTTTCTCATTGAATAGGAGGAGGAGATTAAAATATCACAGTGTACCACTAAGCTCTGGGGAAAAAAAAAAAAAAAAAAAAGGATTATTTAGTTAATATTTCCAGTTCACCAAGAGATATTACTATCAACTGTCATGTATTATCAATTGAGATTTCTGGTAGATCTGTAACTTGCTTATTTTCATTGCCTTGATCTAAAGTTGCAAATAGTGAAATATCAGTGTTAATGTGGGCAGCGACCTACATTAATACTTCTGAAGTCACCGCCAGGGATTGCATTACATATTCAATTTTGACTGGGAAAAAAGGTTCCTTTAGGTTGGTTGCAGCATGTTATTTTTCCCTCGTGCCAATGAAGTACATAGAAAATTGAAATGGCTTTATAGTTTATTTGGAAGTTGATGAAATTTCTGCAGGTGTGCTAATTGCTCTTCAGCTCTTCAGTTTTTGACGTGAGTTTGGTTGCTGTGAGTCTGCATGAGACTTTTTCAGCTAGAGTCTGGATTTTCTTGCTTATGTCAGTCTTTGGTCAGTGTATCCCAGAGCACAAAAGGCCTTTCGATTATTAGACTGGAGGCAAATGCTTCAAGTTGAAATTAGGTGCTCGGTAATTTTTTTAACAATATTTGTTCGTGTTTTAAAATATCTAACTTGAATATTGCAAACATTGTCATATCCCTCTTTATTTGTGGCAAGTAATCTGCCTACTTTAAAACCTGAGGAAAAACAGGAGAAGAATTATCTAGTGAACATTGGCATTTTTTTGTATATTCTCTATGGACATGAGTACCATTTCTGTACCTTAGTGTATATGTTCTTGCTTTGCTTTAGATAGCACTCATCCCTTTTAAGCACAATTTCTAGCTCACTTTAGATCCAAATGTGTCTGAAATTTCCTTTTTGATCAAATCCTACATTGTGTCATGTTAAAAAGCAGCCAAGGATTTAATGACAGCTATTTAAATTATAAAAGGATTAAGGATGGCGAGAGTGTATAGCATATATGGTGTTTAAAGCAACCTGTAAACTCATGTATTGGAATTGAAAAGGGGACCAAGAAAGCAGTGAATATACTGGGTATCTTTACTTGGTCCCTTTTCAGAGTCATAGAATAATATAGATTGGAAGGGACCTCCAGGAGTCTCTGATCTAGCCCCCTCTTCAAAGCTGGACCAGTTTATATCAGGTTCCTCAGGGCGTTTTGCAGTCATCCATCTCCGAGGATGCAGATTGCACAGCCTTGCTGGACAACCTGTTCTGATGTTTGACTATCCTCATTGTGAAGAATATTTCTTTTGTAAAGGCTTTCTTGTCAGAACAGAACTTGAACTTCTAATATCTGTTGAAAGACCATGAATCACATTTTCCTCTGGTTCAAAAAATATCTGGAGTAGCAGTTAAAGCAGAATATGCTGCTTAGCCTTGAGAAGAGAAAACTCTGAGGGAAGTCTTAGCAATGTGTATAAATACCTGATGGAAGGGAATAAAGACGACGGAGCCAGGCTCTTTGGACAAGGGGCAGTGAGTTCAAATTGCAAGATAACATGAACATAAGAAAAACCTTGTTTGACTGTAAGGGTGATCAAACACTGGACCAGGTTGCCTGGAGAGGTGATAGAGTCTCCATCCTTGCAGATATATTCAAAAGCACACAGTCCTAAGCATCTTGCTTTAGTTTACCCTGCTTTGAGCGGGGGGATTGGACTAGGTAATCTCCAGAGGTGCCTTCCCACCTCAGCTATTCTGTGATTCTGTGAACTATCCTCTGTCACTTCAGTGACCTGTTTTTTGGGTGATTCTTGGAGAAAAAAGGGTCTTGGTCCAGTTGCATGTGAAGTCGTCACAAGAATATTCTGTTATGTCAGGTTGTGAGATTTTTCTGCTGAGCCCATGGTCCACACCATTCCAGGAGGATTGCTGTACTCTGAGAGCCTTCAAACGTCCTAGCTATTCTCGTCTTCATTTATGAGAAATTCTCTGTTGTCTTTGTCTTCATCTATAAGTAATTGCCCTAGCCTTTAGATGTATACATGTGTTGTCGTAGTCTTTGTCTAGCAACTGCAAGCTACTTATCAGAAGCATTTGATTACTATCTGTATTGTTTATTTCACATGCCTCCTTTTTTCTTTGTTCCTCATTTCATTTTTTTTTAATGTTGATCCTATCTTTTAACTAATGTTTTAATATTTCTCTAATTCTTCTCTAATAGCTCTCTAATGCTTCTTAGCTCCTGCTGCTTTTCCAAACAAGAACCTTGCAGAATGTTTCTCATTTCCCCTGGCAGTGTATTGGGCTTTTAGGACTCTGGCAAATAGGCTCAGGAAGCAGTACATGGCTGCCTTTCTTGGGCATAAACCAACAAAAAAACCCCCTAGAAGCTATTTGTTCCACACGTAGCTGGTATTATGCTGCTTTGTCTGCTTGGCCACCTGTATACCCAGGAGCATAATGCACCCTCCTGTCTTTCTCATAGGGACAAGGCTTCTGACTTTGTAGGTTTTGCGCAGAATAACCCATTTATATGCTGTTACTCCTTAGCAGGTTGCGGTGCAGGTGGGGGCTGAGATCACTCTGTTTTAAAACATGCCAACTTCTGATCTGTTTAAAAGAGAAAGCTGCAATTAGAAGTCAGATTGCTTAAGAATACAGATGAGTTCAAGCCAAAACTACTGAAATAAAATACGCTGTTAACTTTGTGGATTGGCACACACACATCTAATAGGTGGATGATAAGACAGGGAGGTATCACGTTTCTTCCTTTGATTTTTATTAAGAATTTCCCAACTCTCAGAAGTAGGTAAGATGACTTGAGCGCCTCATGGAAGTCTCAGATCAGTGGTCTGAGAAGAGCTTCAAATGAAGAGTATAAGGGGTGCCTATAACGGCTTTAAATTTGTGTGTGTGTGAGGTCATTTTTATTTGACAGGGGGTTATTGTACATATAAAGGAGATTAGTAATAAGAGAACTTGCATTTTTGTTTTTCCAAACATTGACACCTACAGTACAGGTTGGAGGGCTATAGGCAGCTGCAGTGTAGTGCTGTCTCAGTTATTCTTTCCGTGGCCCTGACTCTGTGCCATACCTCTTGTTCTCACTGCTTGGATTTCTAACACAAAGCAGCTTAAGGCAGGGGACAGCTTAACCTTCTTCCATACTGATGGAAAATTATGCTGAGACTTTCATAATAAGTTGCTTTTACAGCTTTTTAAGTTTGCTTCTCAGAAAAGCTATTTAAAAGCTGTCTTCTCCATAGGACGGTGGCTTCCAGCATGTTCTGTGCAGGTTTTTTTTCTTTCAAACGCCAGGCAGTGGTACTCACTCAGAACAAGGCATCTGTTTTTTTAATACTGCTAATTGGCATTTGTTTAGCATCTGGAATTTTGATTCATAACAGCATAATGGCCTTTAAGCGAACATTTCCTTGACGAGACATTTTTTTAAGTAGTCTCTTCAGTGGCAGTGGTCAATGAAGGATTTATTTTAAGGGGCTGACGTGTAAAGTTCAGGAAATTTGCCTTCTTACCTCCTGCATGTGCGCTGGAGGAAAAGACATAAGTTTAAATTTACTATTGTGTGAAAAGTAGAATTTCAGTAGTTATAAACATACTCTTTCTCAGGACTAACCACTACATGGACCAGCATGTGCGATGTGTTTGTTCTGGCTATGTCCCACCAAGGGGAACAAAGTGGATTCTGCACAAGGCATACATACAGAGATAAGAGCTCTCGGTGCTAGTCCTTTTTTTTTCTTCCCCATTTCCCCAAATATTCTTGTCTGCAGTTCAAACATTAGTCTCAGTCTAGGTTCAGTTGTGTTAATTGATAACTTCCAAGCGTATCTGGGAGGAATATTGAGAGAGAACGGAAGGGCACAAAAGGTAGGAAAATCAAGATGAGGAAGTGTGTAAGTGCGTCTTCTCACATATAGACAGATGTGTGCCGTTTATAGATATGCATATATAGGAAAAGGTGTATTTTTAATAATGAATATTATTTGACTGAGCAAATAGGAAGGCAGACGGAACTGGCTAGAAGTAGGCATCGTGACGCATAGGTGGGCGAGAAACCAGCTTTTCCCTTCCCACACACACTATGTCCTGGCAGAGTGTCTCAGTCTCAGTGCATCCCGTTCCCTACTGTTGAGCCCCGGTAGCACTGCGGCAACCTGCCATGTTCTGTCATTGCTCTGCCGTTGGGATTGAGGGACCTGGGGTCAGTAGGAGATGATCCAAATCTTTAAACCTCCTGCAGTGGCAGGTTAGAGAGGGATTGCTAAACCACTCTTCAGACTCGCATTGCACTCTCTAACTTTTGCATCTTTGGGGTAGGTTGTTACTGAGTTGTTATTACAAATAATACATGATTCATCTGTCTGCTGGCTATTAGGGAAAAAAAAAAGACAAGAAAGAGGCAAAGAAACAAGTGCAAATGAGATAGGAAAGCCAGAACACAATCTTTGAAGTAAATAAAATGATTTTTATAGGAACCCCGTGTGCATATGATGGGAAGACAGATACTTACAGATTGCCTTCCTTGGTTTGTTTCTAGTCGAGAGTATAATTGGATCTATAGAAATACTGTCTGCCTCTTTGCTCTTTAAGAGTACTGCTAAATGGAACAGAAGACAAGGCAGCCAGCCTAAGTGAAGGTCAAAGCTTGATGAGATCTCATGGCTGCCCAGCCTCATCTTTTATGCAGTCAGCAAGATTGTTGCTTCTCCAGAGCACTGCTCTGCTACCGTCATGCTGCCAGGTTAGGACAAGTCTGATCTTTCCTGCCCATGTGACCTGATGGCATACAAGTACATAGTTTTAATTCTGCATCAGTGCCAAGGCAGAGATGGAATTGTTGATTTACATTAGTGAGAGGCATCGCGGCAACCTTCATGAAAAACTGGCTGTGCTCAAATCTGTCCTCCCAACTGTGAGATTAACATTTTTCCTTCCACTTTCCACTCTTTTCTTACCATA